CCATATTTCCAAAAAATAAAGTGGAAAGAGATCGAGGAAGACAGCCAATGTTGATCTCTGCACTAACACCCCCCTCCCATACACACCCTCAAAGCAAAATAACAACAACAAAAAAAAAAACCCACGAAAAACAGATAGGGCTCTGTGAGTCTGCCTCTAGGAGCAGCTATGAGCCCTTTTCCTTGACAAGCAAAAGTTGAATCTATTTAGCTGTTTCCCTGACCACAAAGGAGTCTCACTGGGGAGTGAAACTTGCCCAAGGCCAGCAGATCCTCAGGCCCCACCAGGCCTCCTTCAAGGAGCCTTATCTCCCTGCATTCCTGGTCCAGCAACACTGGCCATAGACACTTGGCACAGGAGGTTCTCCAGAGGGCCAGAGCCCTGGCCCAGGTTCACATAGGACCAGGCACCGCGCCAGTTCTGAGCCTTCAAATATTGATGAGAACACAAAGAGGCCAACAGGCTGGAATACCATATGCTCAGGATTGAATTACAGCCCCAGCAAGGAGAATGACAGGGACCCTTTGCTGAGCATTCAGGTTGGGCACCAGCAGCTCTCTGAGCCCAAGTATGGTCTTATTTGGCATCCTCCTGCCAAACACACAATCTCGGTACCACAGCGGGGACCCAGGGCTAACTCAAAGAATACACGTGACACGATGCCCAGCAGTCTGTAGGATGGGACCTTACTCCTCTCACACCTCATTTGCATGAACCCCAAGTTTAGCATTATGTAGATAAATCTGTCTTTGGAGGCCATACTCCTTCCTATGAGCTGTATGACTTCTTTTCTGTTTTGCTTGTTTGTTTGTTTTGAGACAGGGTTTCTCTGTGTAGCCCTGGCCATCCTGGAACTCCCTCTGTAGACCAGGCTGGCTTCGAACTCAGAGATTCACCTGCCTCTGCCATCTGAGTGCTGGGATTAAAGGCAGACGTCTGCCACCATGACCCTGCATGAACTGTGTGACTTCACAAGGAAGTCTCTCCTCCAGGACCCTCCTTGGCTGGGATTCTCTGGCTCTATTTAACTCTCCACTTCTCTTTTTCTTTTTTGGGGGGATCGGTGGATGGGGGTGAGGCAAGTTTTATACGTAGCCCTGACTGACCCACCACCTTGCAGCAGCTCTCCAGCTTGGGCCTACTGCGTATTGGGGTTACAGGCATAACTCTCTGTGTCAAATGTTCCTCAGCACCAGGTAGGAAAATGATGCCTTCCTACCCATAGGCTGTTGGGAAGGTGCCCTGAGAGGGCTGGGTGCAGATCCAGGGCTCCATGAAGGATAGCAATACCCAACAACTTATTTTCCGCAGGATTCCAGGAGGCTGACGGAATGGTTGTGGCCTGTTAAAGTTGCCCTGAAGCAGTTCATCTCCAGTGTCAGCAGAAGCAAAGCCTGTAGAAGCCCTGGCCATGTGGCCTTTTAAGAGACCAATCCATTCATTGAGGTCCTGGCACCTTCAAATGCAGATGAATAAACAGGGTTACAACTGGGGCATGCTAAAAGGGTCTAAACTAAACCAATCAAATGTCTTTTGTTTCATTTTGTTTTGGTACAGTGTCTTATGTAGCCTGGGCTGGTCTTGTACTCAATATGCAGCTAAGGCTGACCTCGGACCCCTTACCCTCCTGGATCCTGCATCCTGCAGGTGTGAGCCACCAACCCCTGTAAATAGGCAAATGCTTTCCACATATATAAAGGCTGCATGAATGGTAATGGTCTTTGTCCCATCAGCTTAAGGTAGTGATGGCTATGTGCCCCTTCCATGTATGGCTTGAAGAGCATCTTTCATGCTCAACATTGCTGGCTTGGGATTAAGGCAGGCAACATGGAAACAAAAGAAAGTAGCCAGGCATTTCCAGAACAGACTTGACCCTCAGAACAACTGAAGGGAGATGGGGCCGCATGGTCAGGGCTTGGGGTTTTCCAGGACGAAAAAGCAAGAACTTTGGGAACAGGAAGAGTCCATCTTGAGGTCAGTGGTAGATCCCAGCGGGTGAGGTATGTGGAGTCCCTGATCAGAAGTTTCCACAGGGGCTGTCAGTCACATCCCCTCTCCTGTCCAGAGCTTCTCAGTCCACCCTAGGCTCCTAGGTAATAAATCCTTCAGACACTGCATCCTGGTGGCACTTCAATTACCTATACTGAGAAATGATGCTGAATGAAATGACACTAAATCTGAGGCCCCTGGGACACAAAAGACCCCTACAACAGACCCTGGGCAATAAAGGCAGTCCCTGTGCTGGAGGTGAGCCCTGAGTCCTTTGGAGTGATTGCCTGTGTCCAATCAGATGAGAGTCTGCCTAGGATTTTGTTGGCTAAGCTCACCTTACCTTGTAACAGAGCAAGCACACTCTTGAAGACTCCAAGGCCAATGAGCTTGCTCAGGGGGTGAAGCCTTTGCCACCAAGCCAGCTGACGTGAGCTTGGTCCCCAGAACCCACGTGGTGGACCGAGAGGACCAGCTCCTACAAATCGTCTTTTTACCTTCACATGCACACCATGGTACACACACACACACACACACACACACACACACACACACACACACACACACTAAATAAATATAACTTTAAAAAAAGGTTCCAGGTACCATGAGGTCAAACTGGGAAATGAGACTTCTGGGCTGGAAATGGAAAAATCTTAGTTCAGGCGCTGGATTCCTCTCTCTTCAGTCAGCCATGAGCCCTACAGGTTTGACTTTGGCCTGGTGCCCTTGAGATGGTCCTCCCACGGCAGAGAACCCCCTGTACAGATAGGTAAGCTGAGTCTTGGGGTAAGCAGGAGGCAATGATTCCTTACCCGGAATGCCATGGCTCACCCTGGGGACATCTGCCTTCTCTGTCAGCAGCAGGGCTAGACAGTGCAGAGGCTCCTCCATCTTGTTTTCTTGCTGGGGTCATTTCATGTTTAATTACACTCTGATCTCCTTGATGGAGAATCCCTTGGAAAATTACCCAACCCTCTTCTAGGAACCAAAGGTCAGGATGTCCCAGTGAGCTTAGCTTAGCTTCTGTTTGTGCAGAACCCCTCCAGCTGCCATGATGCCAGGAAGTGATTTTTGTCTTAAAAAACCCTGTGCGCTAGACACTGGCTCTGGCTACAACTAGGTCCCCTAACACTTGGGCGTAGTCCCAGCAAGCTGGAATAGAGACTTTCTTTCTTTCTTTCTTTTTTCGAGACAGGGTTACTCTGTGTAATTTTGGTTCCTGTCCTAGATCTTGCTTTGTAGACCAGGCTGGCCTCGAACTCACAGAGATCCGCCTGGCTCTGCATCCCAAGTGCTGGAATTAAAGGCGTGCGCCACCGTCGCCCGGCTGAATAGAGACTCGCAGTTGGCTATAAATTGTGTGTGTGTGGTCATCTCTGGTGAACTCCCCTGTAACATCCCAAGGGCATTTGCCGTTGTTGGTTTGGTTGTGGGGAGACTTCTAACCCACTCAAGTCCTGTCCTCAAAAACTCTTAGAGACAAACAAGGCAGCAGGCAAAAGAGTCAGTGCCATTCCCACTCTGTGTGACCTAGGCCAGTCCCTGTAGGGCAGGGAGGGGAAGATGGGCACAGGAGATGGGGGAAGGGCAGGGGTTTCACTCTCAAAGCTGAATTCCAAAGCCAGCAGGATGGCAGAGAGGAGGAATCCGGTCCAACCGGATTCCAATTCCCTGAGGGCTACTCGGACTGGTGAAATCTTGTAGAGTGGACACTGAAGAACTGGGGATGCGGAAGGAGGTGGGGTGGGGGATGGGGGTGGAGGGCTTGTGAAGGGCAGAGTCAGACTGAGCGGTTTAAGGACCCAGTTGGGGGAGGGACTAACGGTGGGCCTTTGCTGTTAGAGTGTGCGTTTACAAGGCTGATGAATGAGGTCGGCAGCTTGTTTTATTGGGGCAAAGGTTCCTGCAATGTGCTCCTGGCCACCCCTCCATCCCCAGAGGCTGGAAGAAGCCCCCCTAGACTGACCAAGAACCCCGGCCAGCCCTCTCCCCCGGGCCCCAGCGCTCTTGCGGTGACCCAAATCCCACCCCTGCTGACCACCCCCAGTTCCTCTTCCTTTCTCAGTACCTAAGCATTGTAAGTGCCCAAAGAAGAAAAGGAACTAGGTGCTGTGGTGCATAATTACCCAAGGATCCCTGCTGTTTCCAGACTGGAGGACCAGGAACTCATGGCCATCCTCCAGGCCGCACCCTGCCTATTGACTTGATACCCTAAGCTACACTCATCCACGGAGCCCCGCTGCCATGCCTGGCAGTGCTCACCTCCAGAGGTACCCCCAGCCTGATGTTGTTTCAAGCTCCCCTCCCCTGCCCGTTGATCCTCCAGGTCTCTCCTTGGCTAGGATTCTCTGACCCCTTTCAACTCTCCACTTCTTCTTTTTCTTTTTTTGGGGAGAGGGGCTGGGTGGATGAGGAGGGATGGGACAGTTTTGTACGTAGCCCTGACTGACCCTCCACCGTGCAGCCGGTCTCCAGCTTGTGACTATAGAATACTGGAGATTACAGGTATGCACCCCCACACTGTCTCCGTTTGTCCTCCTCACATCCTTATTCCATTCCGAAAAACACCGTCGTCCTTCCCGGATGAGATGCCGTGGGGACTTCTCTCTGGGTGCATTTCTCCTTTCTGAGCCTACCAGAAGATGGCCCCCTTCCCAGCCTGCAGGGAACTAGACATACATACATACCCATGTGGCTTGCTGTGTGGGTCAGCTTCTCTCTCCTGGCAGACACCTCTGCCCTCTTGACTCTAACTAGTGTCAACAGAGATTGAAGGTGTAGCTCAGCGACAGAGTGCTTGTCTAGCATGCATGCACGAGACCCTGTGTTTGATGGCAAGGACCAGTGAGGGTGGGAAAGGACGGACCTAAGAGTTGGCAGCCCTGAGAACCCAGGGCCCGCCCCATGGAAGGGTACCTGTTCACCATCTGAATGGACTAATGGAGAGAGGTGACCTATGCCCTTTTAGGGACAAGAGCTGTTATGCTTCCCCTAATTCTTTCCCTTTCTAGGTGGCCTAGGCAGCTACAAGATGAAGGGAATGAGCATCATGATGAGGAAACTCAGAGTCACCACGTGGAGGAGAGATACCCGGCCAGGAGCGTCTGCAGAGATTCTGGGTGAGCCAAAGCAGAGGTCTGTGGCATTCAGCCACTAACACCGGGGCTCCTGGTTACAGTTCCACTAGCTGACCCATCCCCACTGACACAGGATTCTCTCCTCTGCCACGCCCACCTGGCACACCTGGCCCCATGGTGAAATGCCTGCTTTCTTCTCTGCCTTCTCAACTGAAGAGGACAGGAAACAGAAACTGGCTAGGCAGTCTAGACAGGGACTCTGAAAGTGAGCAGTTTTGTTCTTTTTTCTTTTTTTTAAGATTTATTTATTTATTATGTATACAGAGGAGGGTGCCAGATCTCATTACAGATGGTTGTGAGCCACCATGCGGGTGCTGGGAATTGAACTCAGGACCTCTGGAAGAGCAGTGGGTGCTCTTAACCTCTGAGCCACCTCTCCAGCCCCCAGTTTTGTTCTTGACCTTGGGGGAAAAGCAGGAAATGTCCTTATTTCTCTGCCAGGAATGCTAAAACCAGGAAGCCCTGGTTGCTCGTCTAAGTGAGCATTCTGCCTGGAGGCTTTCAGCAAAGGTGTGATTGAAAGTGCAGTCCCTGGTCCCTTCTGGGTGTACAGCTTTGGAACTGAGTCTCTAAACTGTCGTGGTAGAAATAAATTATATATTTCCCCCAACTTCAGCCCATCTCCTAGGGTCTCTTCTCTTGGGGAGGGGGTGTTGTTAGTCTTAGAGATCACTGGCGATGAATAACAGGGCTCTGTAGAGGTCCATTAAGGAAAAGATGTTTCCTCCAAGTCAAAAGAATGGAATCAGCCCAGCCATAGTGGCTCATGCCTTTAATCCCAGCACTCAGGAGGCAGAGGCAGGTGGATCTCTGAGTTTGAGGCCAGCCTGGTCTACAAAAGTGAGTTCTAGGACAGCCAGGACTATTACACAGAGAAACCTTGTCTTAGTTTCCCAAGGCATTTTTCTGGCCAGCCTTTTTTTTTTTTTTTTTTTAATTTTTTTTTAAAACCTGGTTTAAAAAAAAAAAAAGATG